TCGCGCGTCACCTCCTGCGCTCGTACTTCGGCCACATTGATGCGCGCTCGGTCATGATATTCGCAATATGCGGCACAATTGTGACCAATATTGATTTGTAATGCATGCATTATTAATAAATATGCGACCTTCATTAAAAGCACCTTCATTAAAAGTGCATGCAGCAATATTGAAAGCAATTTTGGCGCTATGCGCCAAATCAGATTGTTCATATTTTCATTTACGTTCTGCGCAAATCCACCGACGCATCTCTCCAGTAAATTGTCACTCGAAAGTTGTTTATATTTGGTTGAACGAATGACTTTAATCACATCATCGTGCGTCAGCGGTTACTGATATTGCTCCAAAGTTCCTTCGGCTTTTGCTCGCTGTGCCATGAACACCACGAATTTAGAAATTTAGATAAATAGAATTAGTCCTGGAGGATAATTTTTATGACGAGGCTCTTCATTTGTTGACGATTTGTGATGTAGTGTAGTTTATATTGCGTCCTTCATTTTTATTACAGAATCGCAATTCCGTCTGATAACGAGGCCATAATATACTGTAATTTCATCCATAAGCTTCTAGGTCAATTTTAACAGTTTTATTTTTTCGCACTTACGCAGAAGGGAACATCGAACAATAGAGACCCGAAACCAGTGCTTCCAGAAACATGCACACACAGAAGAATGCCGTGTTCGTGAGCGCTCTGCTGGCCGCGTCAGGTAGCAGAATTCGAGCGCTCGAACGCTGGATCTCGCTCAACCCTCTGTAACTTCGCCATTTTTGCAAATATCGACATGAAATTTTTAGGATTCATTCTCGCAACTTGGAGCTTTAAGAAAGTAAAAAAGATCGATCTTTTTTCCCTGCTAAGTGTATGTAACCTCTTAACGCATCTCACGCACGTTTAGTAATCGAGTCAGAAAAATCAGTGATCACTCCTCGATTCGTTTGTCTTCACAGCAAGGACTGTTGTGATCATTCGGTGGTTATACATACGTATGTTATTGTTCCCAAGATCTCGCGTGACCTTCGGCCGGCAAGATGCCCTTGAAAGCACTATCATATCATCTGCTCGTTCATTTTATCTTTTCTGTATTGCGCGATATTAATATCTCGACTGCCATGGTAGTCACCAATATAAAGCGATGCTACAATATTGCGGTGTCTTGTTAATTAATTTACGTACAAAACGTAATCTGATGCGTATAACAAATTAAATATGCAGCCAATCGGGGAGTCAAACAACCAAATATACATCAAGAGAAAAGGAATATAAAAAAAAAATAAAAAGTACTTATTTGATGGATATGCTAATAACGTATCACTCATACTAATATACATAATTTTACAATGAAAATAAATCTTTTCTCAAGTGAGGAAATATGTATTTTCCTAAAACTGCTGTTTTTCACAAAAACAATCGTTTCCTCTACTTAAACAACGGCATTTAGATTTACACAAATGTGTTATTGGTCCGAAGAAACGCTCTTTACTTTTCGCATCTTTTCTCTCGTACTATTCTCAGTGTATGATGCATCGCGAATTGCATTGATTTTATACTCGATGTTTGAAATCTGACCTGGGCCGATTGAAATAATCAATAGAAATCAGCTAGCATTTTAACGTTATTTTAAAGCATTAATTCCCCCTTGACATTCAAACGCCGTTCGCCTGCAGGGTTCAAACAGCCACGAGATCTTATCCTTCCGCGATTCTTTCGGCAAGTTCGCCGGTAACAACGACGGTAATCGTTGCGCGCGACTTCTGGCCTGGTTCGCTCGGATTAAAAAGTTCACGCTGCTGAAGCTTCCAAGGCGGATTATTTCGCCGTTGTGTATGAGCGCTTTGTTAGTCGGGCGCCTCGTTCGGCAGGGAACTTCCTATTATAGTTTCGCGATGGAGGTGAGAAGTGTGCTACCGGGATACAGAGACCCCCACGATGATGATGACTTTGGCGAGTGGGCTCTTCTATTTGAGCAAGAACTCATCGACACGAGAGAGAGAGAGAGAGAGAGGGGGGGGAGGGAGAGAGAGAGAGAGAGAGAGAGAGGGTGAGAATAAGATACAAGTTGTCGGCGCGCGGAATACATAATTGCGATCGTCGCACAGTTTTGCAGCTATTCTAATTACAGCTGAGAGATCGCCGAGGATCGTAAAGCGATTTCATCGCCGACACCGTTAATATTAATTGCTGCTGCGAGCCGGCGAATCAGGATTGGAAGCAAGAACAGTCACGCGCGTTCTTATTAATTTAACGAGATTTCCTCGATGTAATGACGAGCGTAGAGTTCGAGAATTGAACATTAATGCGTGAATTTCCCGGAGAAGTAAGATCAACACGTTGATTGCACGTTGATTGTTGTTGAAAGATCAGCACGTTGACACGGCGGGGGCCGGTGACAAAATACCGCCACGTTTCATTGATTTACGTAACACGTAAACTACATATAACGAATCAAATAAATACAGGGTGTTTTATTTTAAAATCTCCACGCGAATATCTCTGAATGATCAAATTTTCAGAAAAAATGTCTCAGATAAAAGTTGTTCGGTTCAGAGGGAGCCATTTGATGACGACCTTGACCTTAATCTTGGACCTTGTCATTTTAAAGGTCAACTTCGTTTTCTTAATGGAAACCCCTATTTTTTACTGCAGATTTATATTTTACATAAGAAATTAAGAAAGTTTTATTCTTGATGTTTTTTTGATATTCCGCCTTCAGCAGGCTGGAAATGCTGTTCAAACATCGCTAAAATGTTTTTTTCGAGGAATGTTTTCGACCTCTTAGTGTTAAGGGAAGATCAGGAATAGATCTGGCCAGCTAAAATAAGTTTGGAAAATTTCACGTTCAGATGTGTATCCATGTTATGGGGTCCAAGTGACTCTTAGAGATCATTTCAAGGTCAACTTCGCTATGCGAATGAATTCACTAGAATAACCTCAAAAGTAAGGCCGACAGCAGATATTATTTCAAATTAAAGTTATTGAGTTCAGAGAGGACCATCTGATGATGATGACCTCGAGTCTTTCAGGAAATCGAGCACGATACAGTCTTGTTGCCGCTCGATAGTTTTGTCGACATTCTCTTAAAATAAAAAGAATATCAACAATTTCATTGGCAGTATAATCAGGCATTCTTTGCGAGTTATAAATATTGAGATTATTTGTCAAGTTGGAAATTTCCGGTTAGAAAAATAAGAAATGACAGCAAAAAAGATTTTAATATGATGATAACATTTGGAAAAGTACAAGAAAACAAAAAAATTAGATATTATGGAATATTTTATGGAATTATTATGGAATTAGATATTATGGGACTATGTAATTAAAACAAAAAAACTCGATGTAATTTCTATTACCAGTACAAGTGAGTAATTTAAATGTAAATGAAAATTTTTTATAATGTACAAAATAGCAAACAATATTTTTTGTTCTTACCTAGTAAGATGCAAAGTGATTTTCTTCTGCGTAAGCCTAAAGAAACGAATTAAAATTTTGTCCTCTACAGTAAAAACTTTCATATTTGTTCACTCCATATAGATTTAATACTGATATACAGATAATTCTTCATACAAATACTCATAATATCCATATGTATATATCAGAACGTGCAATTTTCTATATTTTTCATTTTTAAACTCAAAGAGGAGAGTTTCCTGTTAAAACTTCCAAATTGACCTTTAAATGATCTCGAAACTCCAAGGTCAATGTCATCATTAGATGACTTCTTCTGAACCCAACAACTTTTATTTGAAATAATATCTGTTGTCGATCCTTTTGAGGTTATTCTAATGAATTCATCCGAATAGAGAAGTTGACCTTGAAATTACCTCTAAGAGTCACTTGGACATAACATGGGACATAACATGGGTATATATCTGAATGTGAAATTTTCCAAATTTGCTTTAACTGACTGGATCTACTCCCAATCTTGCCTTAATATAATACTAAGAGGTCGAAAATATTCCTCGAAAAAATCATTTTAGCGACGTTTAAACAGCATTTCCAGTCTGATGGAGGTGGAATATCAAAAAAACATCAAGAATAAAACTTTCTTAATTTCTTATGTAAAATACACGTATGCAGTAAAAAATAGGGGTTTCCATTAAAAAAACGAAGTTGAACTTTTAAAATGATAAGGTCCAAGATCAAGGTCGTCATCAGATGGCTCCCTCTGAACTGAACAAATTTTATCTGAAACATTTTTTCTAAAAATTTGATCATTCAGAGATATTCGCGTGGAGGTTTTAAAATGGGACACCCTGTATATCGCGAATAAGTACGTATGTAGTCGATATACGAGGCCGATGACACGATCTAACGTATAGATGCGTCGTGAGTGCACCTATTGGCATTTATCGTTTATTCCACTCGGTGACTCAAACTGGACTTGAACGTTGAAACAATCCGTGAAGATCGGCGCGTGGTGCGTCCACGAATTAATCCGCTCTCGAGAGCGTCTGTCAACTTTAAAGCTGCCGTTGAAATCAACGGTAGTTGGTTTAGATTTAACTTTGAAGCGAGTCTCTCGAATTTTACGAGAAATCTCAGATTTCCGGCATCATTCCGGAGGAACGCAAACGGTCTGGAGAAAGCGGGTTTCGACCGTAAATGCTGCTCGTCGTTCGTTCCGCTTTCCGAGCGAAACGATCCGGCGAGGTTTCAAGGATGGTGGTGGCCATTTAGGTACTCGGGTACCTCGAGTGTACGCTTCGAGTGAATGCTCGGACTCTGCTCGAAGTTGTCTACACTCTGCTGCTTTTCGTGCTTCGCAATTAGTCCTTGTCCTGCGACAAGGAAGTTTCGAGAGGACACCGGCCATTATCCACGTCCAAGGTAATTCGAACGTCCACCTATCTACCTAGCTCGTAGGCAGGAAGGCACTCCAGCGCAGGATGATTGGCGGAGTTGGTCTCGCTTGGCCGAGATCACGAGACGGGGTACTCTTAGGTCAATTTCCACATCGCCTTCCCTGCCCGCGGAAAGATTAACACGCCTCGTGTGGTTGCAGGTTACGATAGCCACGGACCTTGGCAAGATGGTCACAAGAATGCAACTGGAGCGGTCCGAGGTGGCTTTCTTTATCTACACCAACGGTAACACTCTGAGGTATGGCAGCCTTCTTCTCTCACCCTATCAATTTCTCTAGCTGAAACTCCACTCGAAAAGCGAAACGGCAACCGAACTCGAGATACTTATAATCGAACCACCGGTTATCAGTATAACGTTTCACTGATTGTATTGACTGTAGAGAGATCGAAAGAAAGAGCGAGAGAGAGAGAGAGAGAGAGAGAGAGAAGAGAGAGAGAGAGAGAGAGAGAGAGAGAGAGAGAGAGAGCAAAATGTATTCGTAACCGCAAATTCTATCTTATATCGAAGATGAGCGCTGATCGTTTTATTTTGTGTTTCTCTCACTCACTGTAATATTCGTATGATATATGCTGTCTTCCATAGGCGATCCGCACACGACCATCTCATAACCTTGCCGGAACGCAGGGTGAAAGGTTCTCTCTTTTTTTTTCGATATTCCCTCGATAACGAAGTTAGATCCTTCAACTGATCCCTCGATGAAACTCGGTGATACGATAATACCGATTTAATCCGCTTTCATTCTAAGCGGATTTTTTTTTATTTTTATTTCTCAGATACTCACCGCGCGTTCAATTATCGCTCTATCGAAGCGTTTTAAAATCCCGTTGATCCGGCCACGTGATCGTGCCCGAGCGATGTAATGCGTTTTTTTTTCCTCGACCTAGCGTAATTCTCCGCTCGCATTTTACGTGATGAGAACGAATGACTCTTTCGATTCTTTGAATCGAGACGCAATGCGCGAGTGCGACGCGTTTCTGCATAACAAACGTTTGGTGAAAAAGGCCGGATACAGCCGCGAGTTTATTCCTCGGGAAACTCTGCCGACTGCAAGAAAGATGAAAGGAGAAATTGCATCGCGGACTCGTTCTTCTTCTTTCGAATCTTGTCACGTCGCGCGCTATAATCTCTTAACATACGTTTCGCTGAGCGCTTAGGAATTCCAACCTGGATGAATCTATCCCTTTCTCTCTCTCTCTCTCTCCCTCTCTCTCTCTCTCTTTCTCTCTTACATTAATCTATTCTATTATGTGTCCGGCAATCAGGTCGAACCTCACTCAGAGATTCTCCATAACCGACCAGGACCTCCACAACATGAGCACGTGGCCTCTAGTTTCCGTGCCCAGGGACGAAAGCAAGACGCAGACGTACGATGTGGTGAGCAAGGAGGCCTTCCAGGCACGCTTGGAGGACTTCAGGTATCAAATATTTATCTATCAGAGGTCATTTAAAGATCAACCTAAATTCTCCCGCGTTGACTGAGAGCGTTGAGTCGATACGCACCGCGACATGATTTCGCGCTCATGGGAGGAATCTTGGCGACCTCAGCGGTCGTCACGAGTGTAAACTTTTCTGTCAGAACGAAATAGATAGCGAAGTATTTTCCACATCGCAAATTTGCGCAACGGACGTGCACGAAACGCGTTGTTGGGAATGGAATTTCAAGTTTCATCGCCATCATTCGTCGATGTTCCCTTCTCTCTCTTCCTCTTTCTTTCCCTTTCTCTCTCTCTCTCTCTCTCTCTCTCTCTCTCTCTCTCTCTATCTCTATCTATATCTCCGTCTATATCCCGTATATATACCGGTTGCGCAACAATCTTTACCTAATTAACTTAAAAGCCTCCCGATGCAGATCCGCTTGGTAATTACGCAATAATTATACCGCGGTGCGGGAGGCGACGCTTCGCAGGCGTAATTATTAAGACAAATTGCGGTTCTCCGCGAGCGGTATCGCTTTGAGCGTTAGTACCGGCGGTTAATTCTCGTGTTAGCTTTACCCCTTTTCCGCGCGACTATACCCGCTCGTATGGAAAGTTACGGCGGAAGCTCGAGCCGTTCCCTCGAGCCCTCGTCTCTCCTCGACACTTGTTGAATTTCCATTCAGACTACGAGTGGGGAATTCTCCTCCCTCTCTCGCTCCCATCCCTCCTCTTTCGCTTCTCTTTCTCGCTCTCTCTCTCTCTCTCTCTCTCTCTCTCTCCCCCTCTCTTTCTCTCTCTCTCTCTTAGTCTTTCTCTCCCCGGCGGTCTCGTTTCCTACCTGCAAATACTCGCGCGGACATCGAATCGTTCTCTCTGAGAACAGCAGTTCCCAAGCATCTCAGTTTGACACCGCTCTTTATATTTGATCGAAAGCTCGATATGAAAACAGAGGAAAAAGAAGAAAGGGAAAAACGTTGCAACTGTCAAGAGCAAAAACCGATGTTTCCCGGGCACGTCCGTTTTGTCCGAAATTGAAATTGCGAGTGGCTTCCTGTTTTTCTCTTTCCTCTTTCCTCTTTCTCTGTCGAACCGAACGGTCGTCCGCATTTTTCTTTGACTTGTTGCGAGACCCTGGATGAAGCAGCTCGAGCTTGGCAAGAGTTGGTCGTTTGTTTCTTACTTCTTTTTTATACATATCATACATTCCCATGCGTACATATACATGCACGTATATACGAAAGTATCGGAATTCTCGATGTGGGCGGCTAGATTCGATAATGGGAGCCGTACTGGCGTGCGGCGCATCGGCAAACGATATTTCATCGTTAATGCCGGACATGCATCGTACGGCTCACATGGAAGAACCCTGGGGGATGGTATATCAAGTGGTACATCAAACGTAAGATAACGCGTCGCGATGCGAGGTCGCGCGCGTGCGCGCGCGCACGTTGGAGGTCGTATTTTCTCTGTGGAGGAAATAGGACGACCAAGAGAGAGAGAGAGAGAGAGAGAGAGAGAGAGAGAGAGAGGGAAAAGACCGGCCGCCTCCGCGATATATCCATATAAGAAGAAAAAAGAAAGAAAGAGGGAAAAAGAAATTGTAATTTCCCATCAAGCCCGAAAGGAGAAGCACCGCCATCACCGTTGACCTGCGTAAACGTGGATTTACCTTTTTTTGCGCGGTGACGCCTCGAGACGGCATTAGCTAAGCCTGAGAAAGCGGTAAAATAAAAACCTCGTTTGACGGTTTACGGCGGGACGAAACACGCACGTCTTTTCTTCTTTGTTTCTTCTAAAGAAAAAAAGAGAGAGAAAAAAAGAAGGAGAGGAAAAAGAAAAAAGAGGACGACGAGAATGTGTGAAGGAAACACACCTCCAACGACGGCATGGCTGCCGAAGCGGGAGCTTGTTAAAGGGGAAAACAGAATTATTTATATTTTTAATTAGCTTCTTCGGAGCTTTAATTAGAATGACAAAACAACGCCGCGCTTCTCGACGTGGACGTGTCTCACCGTCAACGATCGCCAGGCGAAAATATCGTCAGCGAGGACGTATAAACACACCAGCAGCCAAGTCCGGATGGAAGCTGATCTCGCCAGCGACTTCGTTTCAAAGGACAGACGGATTCTTTCGACAGGATGAAACACACTTCTCGCCTTAGACGGAAAGTGGCCATTTGCCGTTTAACATTTCGGTGACATTTAGAAAGGATCCAACGAGAATATGTACGATAGCGCGATTTATTTTAACCGTTTTCTATTTCTTCCTTTTCCTTTCTTTTTCGCTTTTCCGAAGCTGACGCAAATTGTTTGTTCTTGTTGCGTGACGAGCGGTGGGCGAGGGGAGCGCCTCGATTGAAAAGCTGTCGATTTATTAATTCACCGGACTGATTTCCACGTCGCGCGCCGCCGGCGCGCTTTTACGCTCGCTTGGAGCGCTGATCGCGAGCCGGCGAGTTTAATTAACGTAATTTCGGCGGGCGCCGGACGGCAGGCGAAACGATCACGGACAATTTAATCGGAAACGCCCCCCGTGCACACACCGTGCGATTAATCCTTTTCCTATCGTCTAATTATATGTAGCGACCGAGAGGGTCAAAAGGCGTGGCGGCGCGGAGACGAGAACGGAGATTACGCTACGCCATGGGGACGCGCGTGCACACACGCTTTTATAATAACCCCTCACCCTCCGCCGGTCGGCGACGCGTCGCATTCGACTTGTCGCATCGATCGATATAAAAATATTTAACCCTCATCCCTCATCGCCCCGATGCGATGATGAATCGCCACGCAAAAGTGAATGCAAATAGCGACGATAGCTTTTTTAATCGGCGACGTGTAGTATATCGGAGGGACGTGCGTTTTGCCAGGGTATTTTGCGAATATCCGATCGAATGCTCTCGTAAGTGCAATCGAGAAGGAGACCCGGAGGGAGAGAGAGCGAATGAGAGATAAAAAACATAACCGACAGATCCTCGTCGATCGAACTCGCCGACGAAAATCGCGCGCGCTTGTATTCGCGCTCGCGACGCGCTTCTTGCGCCGATTCGCGAGATACGTGTACGTGCGAATCCCTTCCCCTTCTCGCCAGGGCAGGCGCCCAAAACGAGCTCGCTGAAAAAAAGGAGGAAAGAGAAGAAAAATGTATCGCGCCGATTTCAAAGTGTCGCGCTCGAGGGCAATATTATAAAAGGCACGTTTTTCAATCAGGCGCGTCGCGCAAAAACGTTGGCTGGTACGTCCGATAAACGTCGATAGAGCGATAAAAGTATCGATATGGAAAAGCCGGTCGCAGTTGCCGACAAGGTGGAGAGGAGAGCGACGGCAGAATATTTCGCGCGAGGCCACCCGCTAGCCACGCGACAATGTACCGCTGATTGTACCGGGTGTCTCGAGATTGTACAGCAGGAACGCCGATTAGAGAAGCGCGCGTCGTGGTGCAACTCCGAAAAACCTGCTTGCCTCCTTTTTTTCTCGTCCCTTAGTACGTCTTTATTTCCCTTTGCGTCGATTAAAAATATGATTGCGTCCTCATCGACTGACTGCCCGCGGTGTCTGTCTAAAAAAAAAAAAGCTGTAAAGGTCACAAAACGCGGACAGAAGCATTTCAGTGTAAAAGCGATTTGCAGCGCTTCCCATTGAAAGTCAATTTCGATAAACGGAGCGGTGCGGCCCGGCGGCGACAGCGGCCGGGGCTCTCCCTTTTGAGAGAAAAGAATAACTTTGGAAAAGTTCGTATGACCGGATGTGAGGATGAGTCATCCGACGGAAACTCATTAGTTGATCAATTGCGAGTCGTTCGCACTGCTTTTATCTCTGTTAAAGAGCTGGAGCTTTCTCCCAATGAGGAACAGGGAAAAAAATGAGAGAGAGAGAGAGAGAGAGAGAGAGAGAGAGAGGGAGAGAGAGAGTAGCTGTCGTCTTTAATTTCTTAAGAGGAAACAACGGGAGCATTCGGTACAAAAAGAATCTCCGTCGGTATCGAAAATATATTCCCCGTCGGAGAAACCTAGCCTGGAGAAAGAGTGAAGAGAAACGCAGGCGGAAACAAGGACGGAGGGTGGAACGCTGCATCGGAGAATGTGTCGTAGGCCACGATCGCCATTGCGCGAGTACGACAGAAGAGACAGCTGTGGAGCGTTTGTGTCATCCGGTGCAAGCGCCGGTAACAAGCCAGTGCTAACAATCCCGCGGTTCTCCCTCTCTCTCTCTCTCTCTCTCTCTTTCTCTGCCTCTCTCTTTACCCCTCGTTCTTGCGGAGAAGCCCGCGGGAAAAGGGCGAGAACCTCGCGAGGGGCACACATCGGTGCGGATACGGCAACGTCGATCGATCGATGCGACGAAATGGTGTAACAAATTTCATGAAGGAATTGAACACCTTGCCTCAGAGTCAATCCCTCCCACGTAGATCCTCACGATGGAATTTTCATTTTACACTTGCACGCACAGAAGGGGAGAGAGATTCGAGAGTGGTCTGAACTCCTGGGATCGTCCTTCTTCTCCTTCTCGCTCGCCGCTCTCTCAGCCGCTTAAGCGTGTTCCATGATCGTAAATTTGTTTGCCGACCACTCGCTCGTGTATTCGCGATACGTTCTTCGCAAATGCCGCGATTGTTCTTCGGTATCTCGTCGATTCACTGTCAATCCCGCGCGTTGACCGTAAATGAAACCATCTATCTCTTCCTTCGTACTGTCTCCCCAGTCCCGCACCCTTTCAGCTTTCGTTCTCCTCGTCGTCGGCACCCTCCGTTCCTCCCGCCCGCCTGCCACCCTCACCCGCTCTGTCTCAGTCTCTTTCTCTCTCGTGTTCTCTTTATGAGCAATGGAAGAGGTCGTCACACATGAGCGCGTGAACGCCCATTTGGAGCAATACACAGTATTTTTAGACTCTTGTCTCTCTCTCTCTCTCTCTCTCTCTCTTTCTCTCTCTCTCTCTCTCTCTCTCTCTCTCTCTCTCTCTCTCTCTCTCTCTTTTCCCTCCTTTTATCCTCTTCTGATCTCTTGTCCCTCCTTGTTAAAACTCGACTGGATAGCACGATGACATTCACGTTGATCAAACCCTCCTAACAAATGCGAAAATCTGCCCATCGATGTCATTATCGAACGATATTCTCGAGAGCGACCGGCCATCTGCCCTCCGGAGAATTTCCCACTGGTCATTCTCTTTTTTCCTTAGATTCTCTCCAAAAACGCATCCTCGAATAATCTTCCCGAGGCGTGCCCTCGGCACACCTAAAAACTGGTAATTGAGTGACAGAAGCCCACGAAGGATCCACGAATCTGCGGGTCTCCGTCGTGGGGAAGCAATCGCGACGTAACCGAAGCACGATCGAAGAGCGCTACCACGATCAGTTCTGACGCTGCGGCGTCCTGCTAAGAACGGGAAGAAAAAGAACGAGCGTTTATTATTGTCTCGGAGAAACAACAAGATCACGCAGATTGTTGCTCCGAATATACAGGGTACTAAATCTCAAACGTAACAGGTAAAAAATCTCGAAAACTATGAAAGGTATTAAAAAAAACTAAAACACGTGTTCCATGATTTCGAAGGGGAAAGAGAATGGCATTATTAGTTTTTTATTTGGAGGGCATTTTCAAGGTCAGTTGAAGGTCAACTTAATTTTTTTTAATAGAAAGCCCAATTTTTTATTATATCTTCCTTTTCTACTAATTAATTTTAATAACTTTTTCTGAAATATTTTTTTATTTGCCTAATATTTTTTGAAATATTTAAGGAAAACTTGGTAACTTTTTCAACATTTAACTTACGATATCTCGCTAACTATTCTTCGAAAGAAAAAATAATATTATATTTTTTTATTTTATTTACTATCAAGAATATATCACTATAATAGTGCCTTAACTTTTATTAATTTAATAATTTTGAAATTTCCAAAGATCGATAAGTTAACAAAAGTTAGGGCACTATTATAGTAATATATTCTTGATAGTAAATAAAGTAAAAAAGTCTAATAGTATTTTTTCTTTCGACTATATATCTATAGTTAGCGAGGTATCGTAAGTTAAATGTTGAAAAAGTTACCAAGTTTTCCTTGAATATTTCAAAAAATATTAGGCAAATGAAAAAATATTCCAGACAAAAGTTGTCAAAATTAATTGGTAGAAGAAGAAGATATAATAAAAAATTGGGCTTTCTATTTAAAAAAATTAAATTAACCTTCAACTGACTTTGAAAATACTTTCCAAATAAAAAACTGATAATGCCATTCTCTTTCCCCTTCGAAATTATGGAACACGTGTTTCAACTTTTTTTAATATCTTTCATAGTTTTCGAGATTTTTTACCTGTTACGTTTGAAATTTAGCACCCTGTATAATGTATGTTTTCCTCGACATTTTTTATTAATATTTTTCACTTAACATTTTCGTGGTACTCTTTCTCGAGGGGCGAAAGGAAGGGTGCAGTTGAGTCCGTATAATAAGGCGCGAATAATTCAGACGACCCGTCACGTCGCGGAACTCGATCGGTCGATCGAACCGTCGCGACCGCGCAATTATGTCCGCATTACCGCATACGATTAGCGTTACACTCGCGCACTGCGAGATCGCATTTTCCCAGCAACGCGTCCCGCTACGTACGGCGATTCTGGCGTATCGATCGCGCTTTACGCGTTCTATGATCAGGCTGAGTGCTAAGTTCGCTCATTTATTTCCCAGGCAGAAGATCAGCTCGGAGGAGAGCAGCATCAGCGAGGTGATGGCGTGGTACACCAGCGTGAACGCCGCCATGCTGGATCACCTGACTAATCAGATTAAGGAGACAGACAACAGCGGGGTGTGGAGGTAATTATCAGGATATCCTTTGCCTGAAGGGCAGATGATAATGATCCGTTTATTATCTCGCTGACACGCGGGATAAGGTGTGCGGTGTCCATCAGCGTTCTCCTTACTCGCAGCGCGCCTCGTACCGTGCTTTCTAAATTTCTTTAAAAGGGTGGAGTGTCACTTCCAAATGAGTAAAAATCTGCTAAAGGCGGCGGGGAGAATGAATTGACGTTGAGCCGACGTGACGTGACGCGACGGCGAGTTTTCGTTGAAGGGAACAACGAACTTCTCCAAACCAAACTCGCTGCGCGAAGACCGGAGATTCTCGAAGGTGACCTTCGAGCAAAACGAGCGTCGTGCCACGTTAATTCGACCGATCCTTTCTTTTCATATGGATTGGTCCGTATGGAAAAAAGATGCTCGTCGTTGCATATTGGCACAGCGAACGCATTAAGGGGTTACATACATCTAGAAGGCCGAAAAACAGGCCAAATTTTGACATTTTTTTTATCATTAGAAAATTGTGACGGAAAAAAATGGGCGTCAGCACACATCAAGGTTGAAAAAAACGTGTTTTGTGGTGGACACTCTCCTGCCTAAATGATCTATTTGACAGAAGAAAACCATATGGTATTTTGAAATAAACAGTAGTGGTTTGTCGTTGACGTTCGCCAATTTTTGATTTTGTCGTTTGTTACAAAACGGCGACGAGTTGAAATTGAGGTTTCGAAAATTGTGAAAAATTTTCGATTCTTTTTTTTTTAATCGATAGAAGAGAGAAGATCGATAAAAAAAGTGAGATCGTCAACGACTAAAGAAAGTTTCTGAGAGTATTGTATAAAAATTTGAGAACGATCCATCGATTGGTTTTTGAAATATCATGTTCACCGTCTTTGAAAACAGTGTTTCGAGAAAAACGCGTTTAAAGTTTCAAGTTCAGTTCAACTATTATTAACAGCAGAATTTTGCAATTTATCTCTAGGCGGCAATTTCAGGGGCATATGAAGCACCTTCCACATCAGTAGCAGCATCGCTCCAACGAAAACCTCTGTTGACAGCGAGCAATTTTTTCTTCGCGCGTCGCCTCCTGCGCTCGCACTTCGGCCACATTGATGCGCGCTCGGTCTTGATATTCGCAATATGCGGCACAATTGTGACCAATATTGATTCGTGATGCATGCATTATTAATAAATATGTGACCTTCATTAAAAGCACCTTCATAAAAGTGCATGCAGCAATATTGAAAGCAATTTGCACCGCTACAATGTGTGCACCGCTGTGCAGCACTTTTCGTGCTATGCGCCAAATAAGACTGTTCATACTTTCATTTACGTTCTGCGCAAATCCACCGACGCATCTCTCCAGTAAATTGTCACTCGAAAGTCGTTTATATTTGGTTGAACGAATGACTTTAATCACATCATCGTGCGTCAGCGGTTACTGATATTGCTCCAAAGTTCCTTCGGCTTTTGCTCGCTGCCACGAATCTAATCCTGGAGGTCAATTTTCACGACGAGGCTCTTCATTTGTTGACGACTTGTGATGTAGTGTAGCCCATTTTGCGTCCTTCATTTTTATCACAGAATCGCAATTCCGTCTGATAACGAGACCATAAAATACTGTAATTTCTTCCATGAGTTTCCTGGTCAATTTTAACAATTTTCTCTCTCTCCACGTACGCAGAAGAGAACATCGAATGATAGAGAACCGAAACCAATGCTTCCAGAAACATGCACACACAGAAGAATGCTGTGTTCGTGAGTGCTCGATTGGCCGCGTCAGATAACAGAATTCGAGCGCTCGAATGTTTGATCCCGTTTTATTCAACTCTCTGTAACTTCGTCATTTCTGCAGATATCGACGTGAAATTTTCAGGATATTCAGGATTTCCTCGAAACTTGAAGCTTTAAGGAAATATAAAAAAAATTGATTTTTTGATCCTGTTAGGTATATGTAATCCCTTAATTCAAACCGTGGAACGAATCGTTCATCCGTACGGGTGAATGTTTCAGTGAAGATTAAAATAGACAAAGCGAGTTGTTTCTGCGAGAGAACGGCGGAAGACCGTCGCAGACTCGTTGTTCAATTTTTAGCGGAAATATTCGCTCGACGGTTCAGAGCGGGGGATTCCTCGCGTATGTGAAGAAGAAGTCGCTCGACTTGGACCGACGCGGCTGTCACGCCGCTTCTCGGGAATTTTGCTGTCCGAAATTTCGAGGCAGTACATGCGCGCGCCCGTGTCTTCCCGCAGGTATTTGATAGCCTTCAAGAACTTACTGCGGAGTATCGAGAGCCTCGGCATCGCCTCTGTGGAAGGGATCAATTACTTCGGTCGCGGTATCCTCCTCGGCGACAATTACATCAGCTACGTTCGTCACGAGGCGCTGGGACGTGATCTGCTGAACGCCGCCCTTACGTACGTGCCCTCCCTGAAGAAGTTTTATGAGGAGCTCACGCGCACGATGCCCGAGTACGACAAGATCAAGGCGAGGTAAAGAGCAAGTTCTCCGCACCCACGTCCGTGTCCTCCTCCGGAGGACGGGAACGGAAGCGGCCGCGAATGCGAGCGTCGTTAAGTCGAAACGAGAGAGTCGAGCTTCATGTCGCGGAATATTTCTCGTTGCATTCTCGCGGATCGCACAAAGATGGTAGAGGGATGGTATCAATCTTTTCCTTCCTTCTCTCTCTCTCTCTCTCTCTCTCTCTCTCTCTCTCTCTCTCTCTCTTCTCTCTCTCTCTCTCTCTCTCTCTCTCTCTCTCTCTCTCTCTCTCTCTCTCTCTCTCTCTCTCCCCCCTCTCTCCCCCTCCCCCTCTCCATCTCCCTCTCCCTCTCCCTCTCCCCTCCCCTCCTCTCAGTCGCCCCCTCCCCCTCCCCTCCCCTCCCTCTCAGTCTCCCTCTCCCTCTACCTCTGCCTCTCCCTCCCTCTCTCCCTCTCTCCCTCCCTCCCTCCCTCCCTCCCTCCCTCCTCCCTCTCTCCCTCTCTCCCTCTCTCCCTCCCCCCTCTCTCTCTCTTTCTCTCTCCCACTCTCCCTCTCTCCCTCTCTCCCTCTCTCTCTCTCTCCCTCTCTCCCTCTCTCTCCCTCTCCCTCTCTCTCTCTCCCTCTCTCTCTCCCTCTCCCTCCCTCTCTCTCTCTCTCTCTCTCTCCCTCCTCTCTCTCCCTCTCTCCCTCTCCCTCCCTCTCTCCCTCCCTCTCTCTCTCTCTCTCTCTCTCTCTCTCTCTCTCTCTCTCTCTCTCTCTCTCTCTCTCTCTCTTCTCTCTCTCTCTCTCTCTCTCTCTCTCTCTCTCTCTCTCTCTCTCTCTCTCTCTCTCTCTCTCTTCCTGGCCGCTTCCGCGAGCGGTAATTTGGAGGAAGTGTTTCCCGCGACGAACGAAAGCGCTTCCCTGGGCGACGTAACGATGTCCGATGATAGATTACGGCAATAAAAATGCAACAGTGTGTGCTAAATGTGCAATCGCGTTTACGTGTGTGCATGCGTGCGTATGCATTCTCAGGCGGGACGAGATCCTGCGGAATCAAAAGAGGGAGCCGAGCGTGGACGATGCAATCGCTTACTTCGACTCAATGGCCACTTACATCGATGAGCTGCGTAAACTGCAGCGGGAATTGCGTCACATGATAAGGTGAATTCTCATAATGAAATTGTTTGTTCCCCGCCTCTCCCCTCCTCCTCCTCCCCGCCCATTGATTTGCGCCGACGATTCTTCGTAAAATGCGACGGATTGGCGGCATTGTTTTCTTTTTGCCTCTTTCTTTTTCTCCGTGCTCCGTGCTTCAAGATATTCGAAGGATGCCAACCGTTAATAATTAACTATCCACCTTGCGTACTCTCTGAATTTCTCGGAGCGGAATGTCGCTGAGGACAAATGCAAAGTGGCAGTATTTTCACTCGAGACAGCAGCGAAAACTTGAAATCGCAAGAATGTTCCATTCGAGCTCAGAGCGGATTCCGACACCGTCCGAGTATGTTTCAGTTTCGGTTCGAGTGAACATGTGTTGGACCGTGACGTTGGAGTACATCAGATTCGCTCTTCGAGTGAAAGTATACACTCGACGATTCAGAATGAAGGGTGGAGGACTCGCTTTGTATGAGCGAAGAATCGCTTCGAATTTGGTGATGGACCACTCGGACATCTCGAGTGGAATTTCACCGCGAGAAATGCAGAGAGTACACACACACATACACACACACACACACACACACATACACACACACACACATGGATGTATGTCATAATGTATGTGTCATCGACGAGAGGGACACGCGTAGATATTGATCGCACATGCGGTGTGTCTACCCGCAGAAATTACGTCAACTCGACGTTACAAGACGCCAGTAACAAGGAAGTCGCGGGAATTGCCATCGTCGTTCTGGTGTTGATGGTGTCGCCTATCATCATAATACTGATGCGGAACGCTGTCGCCACCATTCAGGTTTGTATCGGCGAACGATGCGATGCCACCCCTCTCTTCTCCTCCCTCGCCCCCCCCTTCCGGCCGATCCTTTTTCCAGCTACGCATTAAAGCCGCCGATGGGTTATATATCGCGTACCCTCCATCCAATTAAATTCCCATCGCTCGCTTCAGTGCGCAGCGTTACAATGGAACGTTCCGTTAAAATTACTCATTATTGTATCGTGCATGAGTACCTATTATCAAGCTGATACGCAATTGATTAATCCGTCTCTGATTGCAGATGTACGCCGCGAATCTGGCGCAGAAGGCGCGCGAGCTCAAGCGCGAGAAGAGGAAGAGCGACACGCTGCTCTTCCAGATGCTCCCGCCCAGCGTCGCCCAGCAACTCAAGCAGACTCAGCAGGTGAGATTAGACACGAATAAGGAACATTCGCGAAGCGTGTGTCTCCGATTTCGACGAAACTTGACATATTTTTAGAGTAACCAAAAATAAGAGACCCATATTTTCTTTTATCACCAGTGGCAGGGACACCGACTTGGGAAAAATAATGGGAGGACAAGAAGTCATGACCTTTTTTTTAGTAATCCTTACATTACCAGGGGGAGGGGTGAAAGTATTTAGAAATATGTAGGTTATATAGGATGTTAAAAGTTAACTTATAAGTTAGGACATTTTGGATTAAAAAAAAATGTCATGCCGTCCTTTTCTCTCTCACTCAACCTTGTACGCATTGCTGGGAAATTGAGGCCACGCATTGATAAGCAGTAAAAGCTAAACTCTGAATAGAGTAAGGCATGTGTAATATTCTTCCATTTGTATTACTTGTGGTTGTTAAATAACTAGTAAAGAGGGTAAAATTATTGGGGGGGCGTCGCCCATTCAATAAAATTATTGGGAGGGCCAAAAGTGCTCTGTTCCCTCTCTAAGTCGGCGCCTATGACCAGTGGCTCAGATTTAAGGGGGGAAATTGCTCCTCAGAGTTTCATCCCCTTTATGCTATCTCGATAATTATTGTAGATAGGAAAAAACTTTGTAAACAAAAATTGTATGGTTTTTTATGCCGTACAATTTTTGTTTAAACAATTTTTTCTTATCTGCAATAATTATCGAGATAGCATGAAAGGGAAATTTTGAGGAACAGTTTTACCCCTTAAATTTGAGCCATTGCCGATAAAAGAAAATATGGGTCTCTTATTTTTTACTATTCTATGAATATGTCATATTTCGTCGAAATCGGAGACACACATACACACACTTCGCGAATGTTCCTTGTGAAAGAAAAGCGTTTGACATTTGTAACTATACAATCGGAAAAAGAATTACATAGTACAGAAGAGCCGTTTTTGCAGCAAGTATTGCCGTAATGTCAGCGATAATAAATATATATGTGTACATTGCAACTAGTATTTATTCTTAGAACGACAAGAAGATGTAGTCGGAACCAAAAGTAATTATAATTTTACTAACAATAACTTTTTTCTCTCAGTGAAATTACCGTTGAAAATAACCTTTCCGACCCTTATTTTTAAATATCTTCAAGTAACTTCAGCTCTGTTACTCTTCAATGTCAATTAATCGTCGTCACTGGTTATTCATTGAACAAAAATATGTCTCGTTGCTGTTACCGTTATATATTATTGTCAGCCATTGAAGAAAAAGAAACAGATGTCCTGATTTCATAAATATTCCAGGTACCAGCCGAGTATTACGAGGCGGTGACCGTCTACTTCAGCGACATAGTCGGCTTCACGGAGATCGCCGCGGAGAACACGCCCCTCGAGGTACGTTCTCGTTCTTCACGGTGTGCACGACCGATCGATCCTCCTACTTGATCAATCGCGCAAGAATCGTCGTCGCGTTCCCGCTCGCCGCGATGATGAAATCGCGCGCATACCGCGCGAATTCCCGCAAGACACCATAGCGATTCCTAATCGCGCGCGCGCGCTTGACGTTCGCGATTCGTCCGTCGCACCGTCTTTGTGCTCTCTCTTATCATTGTTTATTTTTCGTTTATCGTCATTCTGATATTTCCGCCGAGTTACCGGCCGTTCGACTCTTGATCAATCGAACAATGTGAAATTTTGCCTCCTACGTCGCAGTATCCAACTTAACTTGGTAAAATCTGTGTCAGACCGGCTATTGACTGAAGATCGCGAGCTAAAGATTCGAACTTGATCAAATGGGACAAAACTCGAAACCGCTTAGCTCGAAATCGATCAGTTCGTCGAATTCTAATCCGAAATTGTCATTCTCCAAGACTCCAGTCTGACACCGAGCTCAACGCGAGATTCTCGCCCTTTCTTTTCTAGATAGTGACGTTCCTTAACTCGATTTACAAGCTGTTCGATGCGCGTATCGAGTGCTACGACGTTTACAAGGTAGAAACCATCGGGGACTCCTACATGGTCGCTTCTGGCCTGCCTGTCAGAAATGGTAAAAGTACGAAACCCCAAAACCCACTTCCGTTTGTTGCAACATCCAAGTATGCGCAATGAAGAGTAATTTTATGATCACCATTTTGATTATCTCGAAAACTGCGCACGCTTACACACACACACACACACACACACACACATTCATTCAAGTCCAAAAAATATCTGAAAAGCTTACACCTGATCCAATTTCGAGCACGGCCAGATTCAATATAACAACGTATATATAACATTAAGGAATTAATAAAATTGCGTGTGTTACGTTAACCCTGATCTGAAACATTTCCACGTTTCATTTCCGGCGTATCTCGCAGGTGACAAGCACGTCTCCGAGATCGCCACGATGGCATTGGACCTGCTAGCGGCCTCGTCCGTCTTCCAGGTGCCCAAACGTCCTGGCGAACGGCTGCAGATACGAAGCGGGGCTCACACCGGACCCGTCGTAGCCGGTATCGTCGGCAGCAAGATGCCGCGTTATTGCCTCTTCGGGGATACCGTGAACACCGCGAGTCGCATGGAGTCTACCGGCGAGGGTAACGTATATCACTCGTCCACACCCTGCAAACATCCTTTCATGATCTTCCCTTTCTGTTCCTCTGGCTACGTGTGATTCTAATTCGCTGCCTGTGTTGTTATTTCATCCAAGCCCTACGAATTCACATCAGCCTGGAGATGAAAAAGGCGCTCGACGCGGTGGGCGGTTTCCGAATAGAGCACCGCGGCATGGTCGACGTGAAGGTAATTCTCACGGGGTCATTATGGATATTAGCATGGTCGGGAAATAAAGTAACGCCTCGGGACGAGAAGTTGCTCCCGCATCAACCTTGCAAATTCCTCCGAACTCGAAGGACCAACTCCCACCGGGCATTTCGGTTTCCAGGGCAAGGGTCTGATGGACACATACTGGCTGGAGTGCAAGGACGGCGGTATCGCTCGTGCCGCCGAGTTGGACCTGCCGACATTCTTCGAGGACGTACGACCAGTCTTCATGCGCCGTCTACGTGAAGAGGGTACTCTCTGATGCGAGCCGTACTCCCGCCGGGATCTCTGGTACCTGAACCGGCGTCCCAACCCGTGCATCCGCCTCTCCCAACCGAATCTAATCGATCACTTGAAGCGGCCCGGTCAAGGTCGCAAGAACCGTCTCTCCCATCCGAATCTGCACATCACCTCGGTGAAAGCGCCACCGCAGTCGCAATCTAGCATCGAGTCGCAAGACTCGGGTACCTACGAGGGTACCCGCTCCACCACACCTTGTCCACCGAGCTATTCGCCGGCCAGCCAACGCAGCCGTTACTCGCAGCCGAATCTACCCACTCTCCTGATCTCCTATGACCGTCGATCAGCAGGCTCCCCGGACCGCCGCATCCGCATGTCTCAACCGACCCTCAACTCCAGCCTGAGTGGCATCAACTTCTTCGGCATGAATCGCGTAGGTGGCGGTCGGCTGTCCTACACGAGTTTGCGCGCCACTTCCGGCGACAACAGCATCAACGAGGAGGAGAGACTGTCGACGCCGAATGTGCACGCCCTGGGCGGTAGCGGCAGTCCTCGTGGAAGTTTAACGATGGAGCGCAGCTCGTCTAGGCTGTCGCAGCCGGATGTGCGCAGGTTTAATTTACGGCAGGATAAACGCGAACGACTGTCGCAACCCACTTTGGTTACCGGGGACTATTACCCTGGTCGAGGTCAACAACGACTATCCCAACCTTGCTTGAGCAGCGGCCGTGAAGGTGTTATCGGCGTCCACTCGCCCTCACCACCGCCATATCCTCTGAAGCACAAGCGGTTCGTACCGGGTGCGCTGCAGACTTGTCAACGCGACCGTCTTTCTCAGCTGGACATCGGCTCCAAATATCGGAACATCATGAAGGACTTAGGTGGAGGCAGGGACAACTCGCAGGTGAAGTTCAACCGCGATCGTTTCTCCATACCGGAGCTGGAGACGCAGAACGATCTGCGACTGATCGCCGGCACACCGAAGCAACGCTTCAGCTTGGACAGTCAGCTGGCGAAGCAGCGTTTCAGTTTAGACAGCCAAGACAGCTGCAAGTCCAGGCTGTTACCAATCGCCAGCTCGCCGATCTTCGAGCATCAGCAGATGAAGACCGAGGAGATGACCGGCATGACATCCGGCCGGCTAAAGAGTCCTACCTGCGAGGGTTTGGAGAGCGTGCTCGTAGCGAGCACGTCGCCGCTCTTCCCGCCCAGCGAGAGACGCTTGCTCGGGCCGGATTTCCCGTTCCCGAGAAAGTCGTCCAAGTCGCCGTCGCCGACGAAAACGTCGGACGTGAAAACTATCGGCAAACCACCGCCGATCCCGATCAGGGAGAGAATGTCTGTGCCGGAAATTAGGAACTCGAGTCTGCGCAGATTACTGGATCCACCAACTCGCCAACGGCATAGTATCGCTGGCAACCTCAGGCAGACGTTGCTGACGCCGATTAAGCTGCAGGACTTCGGCGGCACTGGTGGCAGGAAGTCACCGCGATATTCGATCGACGACGCGTTGGAGAAGCTCAAGAGGATCGAGAAGGAGGAGAATCGACGGAACCAAGAGATGAACGAGGAGAAGGTCCAGGTGAAGGAGCAGGATCAGCAGCAACAACAGCAGCAGCAACAGCAGGAGCCGAAGCACATTCAGAAGCATTACTCGTATACCTACGAAACCGGCGAAGACGGTAGCGTCTCATCGTCGTTGGGCAAACTCAGTGTAGGCGGCGCACCGAAGCGCAAGTACCTGGAGAGCAACTTCGACGAGAACGAGCAAGTGATCACGACGGTAATTGAGACGGACGTGCCGATGATCATGTCGAGTCCGCGGCTAAAGTTCGCGAAGAAGATGCAGGCGTATTCAAGCGAGACGCCCAAGTGGATTCGCAAATACCTGGAGGGTGAGAGCCCGAACATAGGTAGGAAGACTTCCACCGGCGGCGGCGGCAGCGGCAAAGAGACCGGCAGGATCAACCGGAGGAGCAGTCGCAGGAAGAGTTCGCTGGAGTCGATCGAGTCGGTGACGAAGAAACCCGAGGAGAAGCCGCGATCCAAGTCCGTCAGCTGCGAGGAAAGGAACACCAATGGCATTACGGTCGCCGTCGCGGAGCAGAAAAGCGTGATGAATACTTATGTGAGAATCGTACCGTCCAGTAATGCCCAGGAGAACAGGTACGAGGTCGGCGTGGAGTCCGCGGTTTCGGACTGGAAAACCGACAGTCGGGGCCCGTATGGGGACGATACCGACACGGACGATTCCACATCGATTTAATTTCTAGTTTTAATACATACACGAACAAACAAACACACACACACACACACACTAGAGATGTGCAAATCAAGAATTTTTATGTCGAATCGAATCAAATCGAATCTATGAAATTTCACTTGAATTCGAATCGAATCGAATGGAATCGAATCGAATCATTAAAAAATTTAACATGTCTATTAAACATGCAAATAATGATGGAAGATTTTAATATGAAAGGAAATATTGATATTGTAATATTATCTTAAAGTAAAATATATATTTAAATATTTAAAGTAATTTATAATTAAGTTATTAATTATAAGTTAAGTTAATTACAAGTTAAGGGTTCAAACATACAAGCCCAGATGGCCCGTTTTGTAGCTGATGCACGCAAACGATAATATATTTGATTCCTATTCGAATTATTCGGATTCGAATCATAGGGATGCGGATTCGAATCGAATAGAATTACATTAAATTCGATTCGATTCGAACTCGAATAGTTCGCACATCTCTAACACACACACACACACACACACACACACACACACACACACACACGCATGCACGAGGGTTGGGAAGGTTATTTTTTCAAAATAACTCGTCGTCGTTCCGTATAAAAAAAAAAAATATCTCATCTGTTAATTATATTATCCACTCAATTACACAATTATAACTTCAGTTCAGTTTACACAGTTACAATTTTCGATACCTTTCTCATTGAGTTTTTGCTAATCTTCTAATGACCTTGTTTTAAGAGAAAATAATCTTCTTCTAAAGTAACGATCATATTTGTTAACATTCGCCAATGTTATTCTTTTTAAATGTAATCTTGTTACTATTAACAAAAAAAAAGAGAAAGTAACGCTATTAGCGAAAAGAATTAGTGTAAAAGAGCAACTTGCTCATGACTTACTTCCCGACTCTACGTACACATACATATAGTTGCTTTTTGAAAGATCATTAATATATTATTTGTTGCCATTTTCGAGGATGTGTTAATCAGGACAGCTAATTAAGCGATACGCTCGGCATCAGTCGTGTCCAATTCATCGTCTGACTCACGAACGGGAAGAACATCTAAAAAGAATCACCGTCGTATCGACGACACACGTGTATGTTAGTTTCGGCAATTTTACGTCAACTACACTAACTTTTTTTAACTATGAATAATCAAGTTTCTCCATCGCGAATATCATCGGGAGGACAACATTCTAACGAGAATTGCTGGATCCCTAGCAGCGGCGCGTAAGATTCTCGCGCGTGTAAAATTTACACGCTGAGAATGCTCCATGTTCTGAGTTTTATCGCCACACCAGGACATGCCGAGGAACTGTACAGAGAAATACGGATAATGAAGAAACAGGAGACCAGCGCGAGTGATGTCCGTGAGAGATGATCGACGAGCAAGACGATCTCGAAGAGAACTTCTCGATATCTTGTACTTAAACAAAAGAAAAAAGAAAATAAAGAAAAGCAAGAACGCCACACTGCACCGCGATTCGTCTTATCGCTCGGCCGTGCGAATCAGAAGTGAAGAACCGAGCGCGGATGATATTTTTGCAGAAGGAGGAAAACAGAGGACCAAGATGTACGCGATACTCCTCTGCATTTAGCCTAAACGATGTTCAGATGTGCTTTATTAACTTTCTCGATTCCTATAAACGACTTGTGTGTATTATCTTGAACGTCCGAGGAAGGGGCGAAGGAAGGAGGCAGCCCAGAGCCGAAAAAAGGAGGACAAGAGGATGATGCAGAGAGATCGAAATGGCAATCGCAGAAGATTCGGAGACCGGCTAAACAAAAAATTCTCATTGATCTCATCGTGTCGTTGCAATTGACGAAACGAAGTAGATCTTGTTAGTCGAGAGTTGTTTTCAGCTTTTGAATTGCGTTCCGATTAACAGTCTCAGACCTTGCAGTCGCGCGTGCAAGCCCGTTCGATCGCTCTGCACACACGTATATTTCCAGCATACGCTGTGTGTGTGTATGTGTGTATATGTGTGTGTGTGTGTGTGTGTGTGTGTGTTAACTCTCTGAGTGCATTATTTTTATGAAGCTTGCGTCAAGAGACGCCGTAGAGATTAAGTGTAAAGAAACGGTCATCCTGTATATACACCCGACTATAAAAAGTCATGTACACCGCTGAATGTCCCCATCGCGTTGTATATCGTTGTATCGATCTTTCTCTCATTTGCCCCTCTTTAAGTTTTTATCGAAAACGAAGATGCCTTTCGTTTGCACAGTCGTGTCTTGGATCGTGTGCTGTCAGTCGTTCGCTAACGAGAGAACACGAAAGCACCAGGTGAATTTATTTGAGAAATAATGAGCGACAACACGCGCGTCAGCGAATGTTCATTTTTTGCTCATACTAGTCATTAACGGAATCTTACGGGCAGTCGTAATTTTTCCGCGAATACTCCGATACGAATGCGAATTGTGTACGTGAATGTTGAGCAGTTTTGTTCTGTTTACCTTAGTGAATAATTTAGTGGTATATAATATTTTACTTCTATATACATTTACATATACACATACACGAAATGTTCATCGTGACAGTTCGCACGAGTTTTCAGACATTTGCAATGAAACAATGTATAATTAAGCTACATACACTCTGATCTGTTGAATTCGCGCGTTTTAATATCCTTTGTAGTATTATGATAAGAACACCGCGTGCTATATAAATATACAGGGTGGTGCAGTAACTATTAGTACCTTGAATATCTTCGAAATTATGAGTGTCAGAAAAAAATTTGTCCAACAGAAGTTGCATCGTATAGAAGGGGTCATCAGATGGTGGTTACGAATTTTTTGTAGGTGGAGTTACTTCCAAGATATGAAGGTCGCCTTTGTTTTTTTAAATGGAATGCTATGTTTTTATGTCTACCATCTGATAGCGGCTGCTAAGACGAATACAACGACCTACAACACAAGTCATTTAAGGTCATCAAGGTCGCTTACGTTTACAGAAGGTGCTCAAAGTGATGACCGTCGGCATCGAAGCAATATTGTAGTCTTTCTATCGCCGATTCAGTCGCACGTCTTATCACTTCGGAACTTATTGAAGCACATGCTGTAATAATTCGTTGTCGCATATCTACAGGTGTAATTGGTGCTTCTTTGTACACAATATTCTTTATGGTTCTTCATAAGAAAAAGTCTAAAGGTGTTAGTGTTCTGGGGAACGAGCCGGCCATGTTACAAGTCCTCCGCGTTCAATCCAGCGATTTGGAAACCTTTAGCATAGCTCATTTCTGGCAACTGATGAATAATGTGCCGGGCATCTATCGTGATATCATATTGTTTGTCGTGTATCTAACGGCAAATTTCCCAGTAAAGGACCTAACATTTCTCGAATAAATGTAGCGTACATATTGCCATTTAGATTACCTTCAATGAAATAAGGACCAATAAATTTATCAACAATGATTCCACATCATGTATGATATTTAGCGACCATTGCCTCTGGCTTTGGACTTGCCGTAGCCATTTAGGACTTTCCACTGACCAGAAATACATGTTATGTCAATTAACATTACCGTGATTCGTAAATGTTGCTTCATCCGTAAATAATACTGAATGAAAAAATAAATTATTATTCTGTATCTGACGTAAAGCCCATCGACAAAATTCTATCCGATTCATAAAATTCATGCTATTTAATTCTTGACGGAGACTGAAATGGTACGGATGTTGCTTATGACGGTAAAGAGTGCAGAGAACACTGCTCTTGCTAACGCTAGACTCACTATTGCTCTTTGACGCGAATTACAGCTGCGAGAACACCGATTTCATTTCCTTCGTTAGTTACTGACTTTTGGCGGTCACCTTTATGAAGGAGTCAACTTCCGGTCTGTCTCAACTTATTGTACAAATTTCTGGACATTTGACGTGAAGGATGAAAACAATGAGGATTACGCTCAACGTATAAAGTCTTAGCTCTCACTGCATTTTGTTGACATTCTCCATAAATGAGAATCATATCTAATTGCTCTTCAAACGGATACATCGTGCACAATCAATCGATTCATTGATACTAATGTTATCATGATTATCTCGTCATGTGAACTTGTAGTAAATGATTTCTAAAAGATTTCAATATTGGAATCTCTTAGAGGATTCAAACATGAACATAAATATTGCTGTGCTTCAATAAGTTCCAAAGTGATAAGACATGTCTGATGGGCGATAGAAAGACTACAATATTGTGTCGATGTCGACTGTCATCACTTTGAATACCTTCCGTAAACGTAAGCGATCTTAATGACCTTGAATGATCTTGTGTTGTAGGTCGTTGTATTCGTTTTAGCAGCCGCTATCAGATGGTAGATATAAAAACATAGCATTCCATTTAAAAAAACAAAAGTGACCTTCATATCTTGGAAGCAACTCCACCCACAAAAGATTCGTAACTACCATCTGATGACCCCTTCTGTACGATGCAACTTCTGTTGGACAAATTTTTTTCTGACACTCATAGTTTCGAAGATATTCAAGGTAATAGTTACTGGACCACTTTATATACAGGGTGTACGAAAAGTATCGAAACCCCTTAATATCTCGGGAAATACGCATTTTAGAAAAAAATGTGTTATACAAAGTTAGTAGAGTTTCATAAGGCACATTGCATGGCAATATTATTATGACTTTGAATAGCATTGTCAAGGTCACATGAAGGTTATCTTAAATTTCTTAAATAGAGCCCCCTATTTCTCATTACATATTCTTGTAGCTTATCTCAAGGGCTTTCCAAAACACTATAATTAAATGTTTTTCCGTTAGATATTTTTTGAGTTACAAGACTTAATAGTTACAGTACCGCCGGCATTAGCATTATCCAAAGTGTACCGCGTGGAGGTTGCATAATCGGATTTATATCTCTTTTATGTGTGCATGTGTGTGTGTGTGCATAAGATGTACCGTCGATTTTGCTATTTTCATTTTTGTATGCGAAACCCCTATTTCCAATTTTAACATTAGACTGGCACATTGTCAGACTGTTAATGGCCAGCAATTTGAGCATTTGTTATGAATGCAAACCCTCAAAGATATGTAGCGGTATTTACGCACACTTAAATAAAAATATATATGTATGTATGTACACACGAGGGCACATGTCGCGCGCGCGCGCACACACACACATATACACACATGTACACACAAAAGAGGTGTAAATCCGATTATGCAACCTCCATGCAGTACACCTTGGGTAATGCTAATGCCGGCGGTACTGCAACTATTAAGTCTTGTAACTCGAAAAATACCTAACGAATAAACATTTAATTATTATATTTTGGAAAGCTCTCGAGATAAGCTACAAGAATATGTGATGAAAAATAGGGGGTTCCATTTGAAAAATTTAAGATGACCTTCACAACCTGATCTTGATCCTGACAACACTATTCAAGGTCATAATAATATTGTCATGTAATGTGTCTTATAAAACCCTATTAACTTTGTAGGAAACATTTTTTTCTAAAATGCGTATTTTCCGAGATATTAAGGGGTTTTGATACTTTTTATACACCTTGTGTATAAATCCCATTTGTGAAAACTCATCTTAATTCAATGGAAATAAAAAATTATCGCAGTGCTTTCTCTAATACAATTTGTAACTCGTTCGAGACATGAAAAATGTGCGAACTGTTACAATAGACATCTTTTGTGAGTCAATTTATGTACGTGTGTGTATGTGTGTTTGTAGAGAGAGAGAGAGGAGAGAGAGAGAGAGAGAGAGAGAGAGAGAGAGAGAGAGAGAAGAGAGAGAGAGAGAGAGAGAGAGAGAGAGAGAGAGAGAGAGAGAGAGAGAGAGAGAGAGAGAGAGAGAGAGAGGAAAGAAAGTGCGAGCGCACATATATGTATGCATATGTCATTTAATACGCAATCAAGTATGTCAAGTATTAGCGAAAGTTGAAATGTGCATAAAATATTATACTCTGTAAAAAGAACATGCTCTGTGTATACACACATAGATCGAAATATATAATCCATTGTTATAGCCTGAAATATAATTTTTCTCTTAGTCATAACATTCACCTTTTTCTGTTCTTTTTCTTTTCAGCTTCAACAGCAACTTGTGGCTGCATAAAGTTCTTTTGTATGTTTCCGTGATGTTTTATTACTCTTTTTTGTCTCCAGTATTACTATAGCATTAAAAATGTCAGCAAAGTGTATTTTTTGGGAACCTAGTGGATTTAGAGACATAAAAACTTATTATCCCATTTTTGATTAATTTAATTGCATCTCTTATGCCCGTATTCATAGTCAGGCCTTATATTTAAGACTTTCTTAAGTTTATCTTCAAATGGTCTGTAGCCAATAAAATAATCCGTGCAGCATTTAAATGCTGGATGGATATAAGGAGGCCTAAAATATAAGGCCTGACTATGAATACGGGCATTAGTCTTTCAGCATCTGAGGTAGACTTCTGCAAATTGTGTCATGTCTTGCCATCTTTAAAGAAGAAAAACGTGCAAAAAATATTTAAATATAAAAAGTAGAAGAAATTGCGTATAAAAATAAACAACACAGTGTTATTCTGTAATAGTATAGTACCCTATAATAATAGTAAATAGTATTACTCTATAATAAATTATTTTATATGTATTTAGGCATGGGGACAAAGGATGTCGAATGCAACTACGAAGAGGTCTATGGACTCATCTTAGGTAAGGACTAATCTCAATAATGACGACGCTGGTGATGCGCTTTTGCAAGATTTTCTTTCGTGCGGAAGCCTCCGTGCACATGCACAAGCTCGCGTCAGAGTTAAAAAACAGCTGCGCCTACAGATGTATCTAGCTGGTATTCATAGTCGGATCTTATATTTAAGTCTTAAGTTTATCTTCAGATGCTGTACAAATCATTTCATTGACTATGGGATAGAGGCGTGCAAATCGCGCTTTCACTCTCGCCCGATCCCGCTCATAAGGCACAATCTACAGAGAGAGGAATGAGAGCGGCCACCGGCCGTATTTCGGGGGTACGGCTAGGCGCATTTTAGATACGCCATCTGACCAAAATGCGCCTAAACTACGTCCGCTAGGCGCACTTTCGCGGTGATAAAAGTAAAATGCACCTAGGTTCGTGTCCGTACTACTTCCATGCAATGGATAGTAGGTTAGAAAAAGACAGACGACAGATAATCGTTCCGTCTTTGTCTCACTAGTGAGCGGCGCGCGGCAGTAAACATGAGGCGAGGTAGCGGCGATCTTATCTTTCATCTTTCACATACTGCGTTTCGCGTAATTAAGAAAGGAAATGATTTGGAAACTTCGGAAATTGACAATGAATAAATATAAAATTTGTGGAATTTTCTTTTTTACAATATATATATATTTTTTAATATTTATACATATGTGTGTGTGTGTTAATGTAGAAAAATGTTGATACCAAATGTATCGTATCTGCCTCTTCCCCTTCTTTCACCTCTGCCTCTTCCTCTCCATTCACCTCTGCCTCTTCCCCTTCTACCATCTCTGCCTCTTCCTCTGTCTTCGCCGCTGCTTCTGCCTCTTCCTCTTTCTCTGCCTCTTCCTCTCCCTCTCCCTCTTCCTCTTCCTACTGTAGCCACGACAGCTGCTTGAATAATATTTTGCAGTGTTTTAGGCTATAACAATAAGTTAATTTTAAAATATGAGACAAAGCGTTAAATAACAACTTACAATTTAATATAATATATTATAATTTAATATAATATATAGATCAGCATAGACATATACAGATTTTCATACTTACAATTAATATAATTGGCTCGGTCGCCGTCGTGGCCGTCGTAGCCGTTGTGGCCGTCGTGGCCGTCGTGACCGTCGTGGCCGTCGTAGCCGTCGTGGCCGTCGTGGCCGTCGTGGCCATCGTGGCTATCGTGGCTGTCGTGGCCATCGTGGCCGTCGTGGCCATCGTGGCCGTCGTGGCTGTCGTGGCCATTGCAGCCCCCGCAGACGCCGTCGTGGACGTCATCACCGCGTTCAGCTCGTTCTGGAAAAATTCATAAAACATATTTGTTGCATATAATATATATATATATATATATAATTAATATTTAACGATTAAATATATACTCACAGAATCATTCGCCGACATCTCTCGTTGCAGTGCCAGACACCGACTAATTAGAAAACGTGCGCGTATGCTAGGCGCATAGTTGCCGATTTTTTACGATCGCGCGTACGGGCGCGCGTTCTGTAAAACAGATTGTACTGCAGCACGGTACAGACAACGACAATGGCGTTTAAAATGCCTTTACTCGTAATTATATATAAAATATAGGTTTGAATTTATACTTAATATAATAATATGTAAAATATATGTTAACAACTATTTTGCAACTTTTTAGACACGATTTTGTAGTGAATTCTGCTTTACAACAATCTCGGGTTGAATCGCGGACCAATACTTTTCAGTATATGTATTCATTATAATACAGGGAATAGAACGTGAAAATCTTGCCTTTGAATCCGAAAACAATTAGCAGAAGAAGTGAATCTTTTTCAATGCGAGAGTTCGCATTAACTTGAATTCTATCTACTGCGATTGAATGCAAGGAATGTCTTAAGCTAAGTGAATTTTTTTTTAAACGAAAGTTCGTATTTGTTTTAATTTTACCACTCTGAAAGGAAATTCAAATACTTTTCAATGCATAAGGGCAAAATAAAATATACTTTACTGTTTGACAATACCATTTTGTAGACAAATGTTTTTTAGTCTAATTTATAATTACAAAGAACAAATGATTCTTTATGATAAGAAAGTAAAAATTTATAAACATTTTATGCAAAGCATTTATCACTACCATCTCGCATTCAGCGTGATGAAGTTTAATGCGAATCAATATTTTTCAATATTTCTGTTCGGATCAGAAAGCAGAAATTAGAAGTATTAAAAAATATCAATACTTGTTAATTCTTCTCAATCCAATATTTTTTGCAGAGCATTAAACGACAATATATTTACGTCAACCATATAGATTCCATGTGGATACAATATACCTGTTCTTATCGGATAAACGTTCAATTAACAGTCGAATAAAACTCATTATAAACATGAAAACACCTTACATAAACATATATAACAGTATGTCTCACCTTATTCTGGTTGTTTAATAAAACAATCCTGCATAAAATGTCGGATCGAAAAGAATTAAAAAATATTAATATTTTTTCAATATTTCTTAATTTTGTTTTCTGGCCCCAGCGAAGGAATTGAAAACTTTTGGTTTGTATTAAATTTCATTGCACTGAATATGAGACGATAGTGGTGAATGTTTTCATTAAAAATGTTTACAAATTTTAATTTTCTTATATTATAAGGAATCGTTTCTAATTATTAATTAAACTAATAAACATTTGTCTATAAAATTGTATTGTCAAACAGTGAAGTATATTTAATTTTACATTAAAAAGTACCTGAATCTCTTTTAAAAGTGGCAAAATTTTAACGAATACAAACTTTCACATTAAAAAGAATCCACTTAAATCAAAACGTCCCTCGCATTCAATCGCAATAGATAGAATTCAAATAAATGCGAAAAATGTATTAAAAAAAATTTACTTCTGCTATTTGTTTTTGGATGTAGAGGCATACAAGATTTTCATGTTCTATTCCCCGTCTCGCACTGAAAAATATTGACCCCCGATCCAATCCAAGATTATTACAAAGCAGAATTCATGACAAAATTTCGTAAATACGAAACAATACTTTTGAAATAAGACTTTTTATGCAGTGAAGTAATATGGGATATGACTTGATCAATAAAGTGATATAATTCCTTTTTTTGGACCATTGAGTCACGCTACACGACGAGTATCCGCCGTATCGAAAAGGTTAAAATATTATAGCACGTTCATTACGAATTATTATTCGATACAAGCTATAATGATTTCCGAAGCACATCAGCGTTAATAAACCGAGTGCTGTTTGCAAATATTTTTCAAGACAGTTGTGTCAATAGATGCGTTCAATAGAGGAAGTTGCTTTACAACTATTGTAAAATTCGTGAATCTAATTAGTAGATGCTCTTTGATTCAGCCAAGATTAAGGGATCGTCTACAATAGAGGTCGTAAAATCATTAAGCTGTAATTCAAAAGACTATTGGCCAATATACAGTTCATTATTTTCCATGCGGTTCAGAAAAAATCGATTGTAATTTTTCAAATCACAATCAATTCTCAATTTGTCAATTTCTTAGGATCTACGACTTTACGACTTTACGACTTCTATTGTAAACATAGCCTGAGAACTTCAATCGGATTCACGAATTTTATTACAGTTGCAAAGCAATTTTCTCTTAACATAACCAATGGCTTTTACGCACTTGTATCTGTACGTATGATACGAAACGTTCCCCGCTCGAGTAGGCGGAGCCTTTTTTAAAGCCCGTCAGTATTCGACTAATCGCTTCATGCTCGATACCGTGGTGATGTTAAATTATCTGTGCGTAAAGAATGAAAGGTCTAAACTACTGATGATTAACGATCTATTTTCTTCTGAATGATTAAAAAGACATTTTTAGAAAGATACATTTATAAAAAGGGGAGAGAAAAGAGAGAGAGAGAGAGCAAATATTTATTTATTTATTTATTCTTTGCAATTTTATTCAAAAAGAATAAGTAAAAAATATAAAGTGCATTGTTATAAATATTTCAGTTATGTTTATACAAAGTTAACAAAGTAACAAGTCATTTTTATTCTATTTGTACTTATAGTGTTAAAGAGTAATATTTACGTACACGACACATACATTAACGAAATTATGCTATTATCTGCTTATTATTATATAGCATGGCTTGCACTAACTTTACAGTTTAAAACGATGTCTAATAAATTACAAGGAAATTAATATATACTTTATTCGGAAAAGCATGTACTGAACTTTGTACAGCAACGAGAAACGCTAACAACGAGAAGCGCTAACAAGTTTACATAATAAGAAAACATAATAATCAAACGAATGTTTAATTTAATTGAGTGATATGTGCTGATGATATATACGCCGTTGATACTTTATTATTCCCAACATCGATAGTCATTATATATTTTTAATATTTTCTTGCCGGGAGCGTTTCTAGCTGTATCTTTCTTATGATTGTTCATTCATCGAAAAAGCGGGAACGTGTTCAAAGCAGAAGTGGCATTTTCAGAGCTTTACATTTCATATAGTTCAATAAAGAGGATTTTTCCTTTAATATATTTTTTTACGCAATTAATAAAAGAATGTTAGGATAGTTAAAAAGAATATTAAAAAAGATAAGTTTAAGGTTAACACACGTTATTTGTTATATTATTATTTTTTTATTTATTATTTCAATAAATAATTCAAACTTGAATTACCAAAGATGCGATAAATAAATGCAACTTATGACTTTGAAAAATCTTGAGTTTACAATACATTGCTAATCGGTTTAGACACAATGAAGTTGGAAGCTCACAAAATTGGCAAAATTGAAAGTCATTACCGAGCAACTTTTGCAATAATAATATTATTAAAAATATAATAAAGAACACTTAATAATAATAATAATAACAATAATAATAATAATAGTATTGAAAGCAGAATCTCGATCTACAGATTCACATCATCTCGACATTATCGAGTAGCCTGACAACGAGAGTTAATGTAAACAGTTTTTGTTGCTCGACTCAATAATAGGCGGTATCGACGATTCCTCCTGGATTCCTTCTGAAATCGTCGATGAGGAATCTGAAGGACTGATCGAGAATTGTCTTGAGGTTATATAAGTCACCTTGCGAAAGAAAGTGTGCGCTCTTCTTACGACTCTTCTTATGAGACTTCTTGCGACTTCTTGCGGGTCGCTTACAATTTCCGCGTAGAACTGGAGCTCGCGAATAACGTCAGTGTACGGCTTTGTAAAAGAACGATTAAATACAAATTTTCAACTTCTCACTCTGAGTACGCGTCGATATACCTCTTCGCTCTTTCCGATATTCCACTACAATATATAATAAAATTACTGAATAAGTCTGTCAGTAGTAATGACTTATAATTTTGACAATGTAGTTAGCTCAACTTCATTGTATCTAAATCATTTTGCAATTCACTGTATGTATATCAGATTCACTTTTCAATATTTAGTGAAAATTCTCATTTGATGATTCAGAATCTCAATAATTCAGAATGATTCAGAATGATTCAGAAAAATCATTCTATATGAGTGGAAAGTTATAAAAAATTATTGCACATAACTGAAAAAAGTTTGAGTGACTCGGTGATGACTTATTTTCTTTTTTTTATTTTTTTATTATATTTCACTCAAAGAAATTTTGTGAACGGCGTATCGAAAGGATAAAAGTTGCAGCATATAATAACTCGAAAAATAACTCGTTCATCAACGTCGAAACAGTGTCGAATCGCCATCGAAACCGTCAAGTCGACGTCCATTCGACATTGTTTCGATGGCGATCGATGACTTATTTCTCGCTGAGATTAAGTGCATTACGTATTCTCTATGTTTTGCGACGATTTCTCGCCTCAATTACCGTCGGCTTTCTGACCCAGCTCGAAAGCTAATGTTTGAACGTTCGGCGCCAGGTACGGCAATCCTGTATAATTCGTGAAATGGGTCGCCAACGCTAAAATTTTCCGCTAATTTCCGAAAAAAAAGAAACCTTCTCGTGATCGATTGTCCGCACGGGATCAGTTGCTCTTACATATTTTGAATCGGAGAAGGAATTATCCGAAGGGAGTCGAAGGATTTTGGGCAAAAGATCTGCACGCCAATTTTGAGAGAGCTTACAAGTTTTATTTTGCGCTGGCGGTAGTAATACAAGAGTACAGGAGAAACCGTAATACGAACAACCTCTTTGGTCTCGCTATATTCCTCTAATGTAATATTCGAAATTATTTGCTAAATGGAGACGATTTTCAAGGGCTATATTTATTTACTTCCTATTGCCGCTTCAATTCGTCCGGCAGGACTACCGACTGACACAGTTGCGATGCTCACTTTGAGAGATCTTGACATCATAATAACTGTGAGATTTAATTAATAAAAAGTTTTTATCAAAAAAACTTTTCTATATATAATATTTTTATATGCTAACAATATATTTATATTATTAAAATTATAATGTATATGTAAAATTATAATGTAATTATAATGTAATTATTATGTAAAATTATAATGTATATTATTAAAATTATAATGTATCAATAGATTTCCACATCACCTAAGAGGTACTATTGCCGATGCGTTTTTTTTAAGTGGTATTCCCAATAGGCCTATTCCACTAAAG